GAAAAAAGGTCGTAGAGTCAAAAAATAGGGAAGCCTTGTATAGGTACATGAATATAAGAGTCAATCCTAGAGAAGGAGTAGGCTTTCTTGAATCTGATGACTCAATTGGGTCTTCCGATTTTTATAGAGCAAATGCACTTGCTGAAGTTTTTGCCAATTTTCATCCGCATTTTAAGCCAGTTTTAACTCCGCCCCTGGACAGCACCCTGTTTCAGACTATGGAGGACTCTGTACGGTTCGATCGTCGTGAGATTTTCGAGTTTCGTTCGAAGTGGCATGGTTGCTCCTCGGTAACGCCGGATGGCATCCCCTTCCTGTTAATTAAAGTGATTACTTCCAAAATTCCTTCGCCCTTGGAATACCTCTTCAATCTGATCTTTTGTCGTGGGGAAGTCCCAAAAAGATGGAAGCATGCGTTAGTTGTTCCTTTACTGAAAAATTACCTGGTTATGTTCCGCACAATTTCATTTCAATAAGTATAACTTCTCTTTTTTGTCGAGTGTTTGAAAAAGTGTTGAAGAAGAGAATCATGCATCACTTTGAACTCAATCCTGTTTTACCTAGCTTCAGCATGGATTTAGGAAAGGCAAGTCTAATGAGACGTTAATGTTGGAATCATTGAACGAATGGACTGCTGCGTTGGATACTAAGAAGAGTGTTTATGTGGTATACCTGATTTTCAAGTCTTGACCATGTCTCTCACGAACTCCTGGTTTTAAAGCCCGCACATGTGGGTATTCATACACGGGTAATTGTTTGGATAAGAGCCTTCCTTGAGAATCGCACCTTCCAAGTGATACTCAATAGCAAACTAACTTCAGTCCGGGATGCTTCCTCTTGTGTTCCTCACGGATACGTTTTATCTTCTCTTCTTTTTGCTGTTTACGTGTATGACTTGCCCGCAGTTATTGCTAAAGAAGGCATCACCTGTAAAATGTTGACATGACTCGAACTATGTTCTAAAGTTCAAAGTGGTGAAAGCTATTTGCGATTGCAATCTGCTTTACATGCTATTTCTCGATGGTCTCAGAATTGGTGCCTTCTTCTCTCTAAGGGAAAAAAAGAAAGTTCCTCATCTTGGGAACAATAATTGTCGATTTTGTTATCTCTTGTCAGGCGTCGTCATTAATAAGGTCGATTCAGTGAGGGACTAGGGTTCATTGTGCACAATAAACTCTCGCTTGTCGAGCATTGTGAGAGCATCCATCTATGATATATATATAAACCGCTAACTTTGTGTGTCCGTTTGTATGCCCGTTTGTGCGTCCGCCCAAAAATCACGTAGGCAAATGATTAAATGCGTTATCAATGAAGCGGATACATATATTTCATTAGATAAGGATCTAAGATCATTAGCGGTCGAATAAGCCTTGCCAAAAGTGATATCGAAGCGAAGAAGAATCGTGATCCTTCATTGAGTTACAAACTTCACTGGGAGCGGCCGTAAAAAGCGTTCTCCTGACTATTCACTATCATGCTAAATCCCTATACTATGGACGATTCAACTATCGGTTCGCAGCCAACTGAGGGAGGAGAGAGCTTAGGCTTCTTGGACAAAAAAACTTTTTGCTCACGGATAATTTTTACCGAATCTTTGCATTTTATCTATTTTCCAGACTAGACACGTATTTTTCTGTAGATAGAAATCACTAGAAAACTAATCTAATCGAAATCTCTAATTTTAAATGTAGATTTTGCTCACAGATTCGCACTCCAAGAACTATCCACTCCATAACACTTCAGTAGCTATAATAGATGAAGGTTTTCCAAATTTGGAACTTAGGCAAAATCTATACGACAGCTGATTGTTTGTTTGTTCGTTCAATGTAAAGAAATTCGATATTACCTTAGGAAG